TAGAAACACACACCCCTGGTGAAACCACACCCCTCACTGGCTCTTCCCTCAGCAGCATAGTCTTCACCAATAAATTAATAGGACAAGCAGTTAAAAGCCTGAAACCTTCCAAAAGCACGGGACTGAATAGCCTTGCTTCAATAATTTTCAAAGGCAATAGGTGTGACATTCCCCTATTACTTTCTTAATTCTTCTCACTATCTGTGGACACTGGCACTTACCCTAATGAGCGGAAAACTGGCTTTATAATTCCACACTACAAATCTGGCGGTAAGGCAAACGTCCGCAATTACAGAGCTATAAATATAACCCCAGTTGTCTCGCGAATCATGGAGAAAGTTGTCAAAGATCAATTGTCGGACTATCAACATAGGGAAGATCTTGATACAAGGTCTCAACACGGATTTCTCAGGAATAGGTCTTGCGTTACTTGCCACTTCGACTTTTTCAACTGCTTCACTGGTAGTCGCGTAGCACGTTATCTAGGCGTTCAATAATTTAATTTATATTTATTTCCTATCTATGTAGGACACACCAATTGTACAGGCATGGATAAGTATTATTTACATTACATGAATTTGATTTATAGTGAAATTACATGGTTGCTCTCCCCTCTGATATCAGTTAGTGAGTACAATCTGATAGCTGGTCGTTCAATGGAGCACATAAAAAATATAGAAAGATCGTCTTCGCATTAACGAAAAACCCAAGTACGTGTCGGATAAATTACAACTATTTGAGAAAAATTGCCGCGTTACGTTCAACGTTTGCGTTACAGTTTTGCGTGATTCGTTACATAAAATTTATCTTGTTGTAATCCTTGCACAAGTACTCTACTTCCTAAATACCTATAATCATTAACTCTTATAGCAAATAGTTATGGTTAATCAAAGTAAAAGGCAACGAACTCAATCCACCGCAAATCTGATGACTAATTTTACGTCCTTAATTGCTACATCAAGCAACACACTCCCTACAAACGGTTATAGTGAGCCACATAACTCACTTGTATGTCGTAAGCGTCGAGCTGAAACTGAGGATAAAACTGTACTGACAGCTAGTATTAGCACTACTCCTAAAAATTCAGTACCCTCTGCCCATACAGAACCCCCCCTACACCTTATGTGCTTATCGAAAAACTCCAGCCGCGAAGCTCTGTTTCAGTACTATCTTCAGAAATAGAACTTCTAAAGTTGTCTATAGGATAACTCAAGGCCGAATAAAGGGAAATAAAATACAATAAGTCAGTAAATCCTGGAAATTCTGAAACCAGTGCCAAAATATCCAAATTTTCAGATCAGATCAGCGATATCAGATAGCTATCCTCATGAAAACTGTAGACCTTAACAAACTTGACACAGAATCGGTATCTAAGGTAGATAACCTCACTAACTTTGTTACTATAGAAGTAACAAAACGACTCGACGCTAAACTAAATGCTATTGTCTACAACGTTCCGGACAATGATGCACTAAAAAGGCTACAGCGCATCTTACTTAGTGAGGCGAAAATGCCCAACTCCAAGACTAAGTGCTACAGGCTGAAGAAGAGTCAACATGAAAAGTGTTGTCCTATTCGTTTTCATTTCGAAACACCGGCTGAGGCCAGAAAATTCATCCACTCCCAACACACCCTACCGAAAGCCAGAAACTACAAATTAATAAAGGTTGCGATGGACAAGACAGTCATAGAAAGGCGCGTATATAATTATCTCACTGAGTCTAATTGTAGAATAAATAATAGGACATTGCAAGCAGCAATTATACCCAACCCTTTGAGAGATACCGTAGAATCCACCGCACCACCCCTCTCAAACCACACAGAATTATCCTCTCAGAGAGCAAAAGGCCACTAAGTTGTAATCAAATAGCTAATAAAACTATACCACCTATCACCGTATATATAGACATGTCACTAAATAATCCCAGAAAAAAGTCAAAGCCCCCGAAAGTCGACCCTGTCTTCTCCTAGCCATAATTCCATTGGTAAAAAAAGAAAATATGACCCCAAATCAAGCCAACAACAACAATGGCAGTATAAATAAGCCCACATTTCCCACGGCCAATAGTATTAGCACTCACAACGTGCGAAATCGCACCATGACACACACTGATAACCAACGTCATAACAATGCCACCCTCAATAGTACAAGTGGCAATAGTCAGAACTCCACCACCAACAACTCAGGGTATTCACAGTATGGCACACAAATAAATTTTGATCGGATATATGGTACAAGTCTGCTGGGAACTAACCCACAAAGCAGTACACACGAAACCCTTAAAAGGGCACAACTAGTACCTAACAATAGGTGGAATAATAAACCATGGTCTTCACAAGGTCCCAATCATTTTCTATCCCCTGCGTCCCTGTCAGCGTTAAAAAACCAGCTGGTAGGGATGCTAACACTCCTAAACCGCTAGTGCTGGCTCCCCCTTTGCATGAATATAGGAACAGTCTAGTTCAACCGCATCCACTAGGCACACTTAATACATGCACAAGTTTAGGTCAAATAAAGATCCCTACCCACGTTTCTGGCTTAACTAAAAATAAAAATGCCCTAGCCTATAGAAAATCCAGTACTCCAACGCTCAATTCTTCACCGAAAACAGCACACACCAACCTGATAGACATAGATGAGCATGATGTTGAAACTTCTCTTAACATAGGGTCGTCATGCCAAACAGTACTACTGGGTGCTGAACCATATTCGGGGCTGATTAACGAACTTAAATACTTCAAACACTACTTCAACTCTCATCTTTACCTGATCCCCATAAATGCTAGATCTGTTCTAAATAAACTGCCAATGCTCAGAGCACTCACAGTAATATACAATCCCCCTATAATTGTCATCGCTGAACCCTGGTGTAATTCGAACATACTGGATGAAGAGATAAGCTTAGATAACTACACACACTTTCGGTGTGGCAGGGAAGGTGGTAAGGGAGGGGGTTATCTCATGTACTCTGAATGCACTTACTGTATCACAGCTAAAAAGTAGTGCACTTAACATGCCTGAGACTATGGCTTGACGTACACTTAAATAACTCAATAGCATTAATTGGATGCACCTACAGAGCACCTGGCACCTTTAGTCATTACGAGACCCAACTTATTAATACTCCGGAACAATTATCCTCCCTACACTACGATCATAAGATCCTATGTGGAGACTTTAACTTACCAGAAATCAACTGGGATATACCCACAGGCCCAACTAAATTTGATAAGTTCTTAGGCACACTGGATATACTTGGCTGGAAACAAACTGTCACTATCCCTACAAGAGGTGACAATATACTAGACTTAATATTCTGTCACGATAAAAGCCCCCTCTCAATCTTAGTGGGTTCTAATTTTTCAGGTAGTGACCAAAAAACAGTGATGTGTGCTCTGCCACTTCCACTGAGTAGCAATGCAGCTCATACCTCCACTTCACAACAAGTAATATATAGGAACTTTAGTAAGGCAGATTGGGTCTTCGTAGAATCAATGCTTAGATCTTCTGAAAGGGGCGAATATTTCACTACTGATGACCTCTCGCAAGCTCTAGACATCTTTCGAAGTCCCAACCAACATGGATTCCTAAAATCCAGGTCATGCATGATCTGTCACCCTGACTTCTTTAACTATATAACTAGTAATCGAGACAAACAACAAATAGTACTAGTTATCTACTTCGACATCTCCAAAGCCTTCGACCGCGTTGATCATTTGCTTCTAATAAATAAGCTGAACTCCTTAGGAATAAGTAACCCATTATTAGCATGGCTTGAATCATTCCTTAACAATAGATCCCAGGTAGTTAGACTGAGGTCTGCAAACTCCAAACCTAGTCCAGTCACTTCTGGAGTAGTTCAAGGTAGCGTCTTAGACCCCAACATATTCACTCTATATGTCAACGACATATGCAGCTGTTTCTCACTTGGAAAATCATTCATCTTCGCAGATGATCTTAAAGTAGCTTACACATTCCACTGTGATGACTAAGGATACTTTCAGAAAGCTGTTCAGGAAGAACTAGACGGAGTAACTGCATAGTCCTCCACATGAAACCTAAAATTCAACCTTAAAAAATGTGGTTGGATCTGTTTCGGTGCACTCTCAATAAATATCAAACTGGTACTTGAATCTATTGACTTGCCTAAACTCCAAAGTGTTGTTGACCTAGGACTCAGGTACTCTAGTGACCTGACATTTTCTGAGCAAGTGGCATCACAGACTCGAAAGTCGAGGATGCTCTTAGGGTGCATACTCAGGAACTTTCACGACAATGAAGCCAAGCTAATTCTGTACAAAACCTGTTTGAGGCCACTACTAGTATACTGTCCATTTATTATCAGCAGCACTCACACACGTGAAAAGCTAAGAAATGTAAGTACTTTACAATGGAGCATCTTGTATTGTTAATTGTCGGAGAGTTGAAACAGCTCATCAGATGATCTGATGGAGAGGACATCAACATGCCACTCTTCTCTTTAGGACAGCACTGCGTTTTGCTGTGGCTCCTAAGTCTGAATGACTTGTAGATAAATTAAGACAGAAACTGATATGGGGGCTGCATTTATTACTGTACTCTTGAACAGAAAGGATTCTGGCCACTTGATCATTCTTAGGATTGAATTTCACCATTAGAAATAGAGGCGACTGCTCACATTGTGCACAACCTGAGATGTAGAATATTATAACACATATCATGTAGTTGAATATAAGTCCACCATACGAGATAACATAATATTCACTTTGATTTGTTTATATACACTATTTTCAATTTACTATTACTTACCTCTAACAAGCGCGCGCAGTTTAGTGCCGCGCCTTACTTTGTCTCGTTTTATTTACATGTCGCGTTACTTCTAGTCACTTTCTGCCTATCTCCGGCTATTCATTTCTTACAAATGTATTGGATATAATACTTAAATAGTGTTCCTTCATGAGATTGATTTAATTCCTTCGTATTCGTAATGTATTGAATTGGTTGAGATCATAATATTCAGGAAATCAAATCGTGTTTGTCTGTTTGTTGGAAATATCATTTAATTGGCAGGTAACTTGTTTGAAATATTTGTACCTTATCTATGTACTATCCTCTGCTTTTTGTGGTGATAAATTTGCGTCGTCACTTGTTTAAGACATGTTAAGTAGAATTTCATAGTATTCATAAATAAGAAGCGGTGTAATACCAGCCTGTCTAACAGAATGGTGGTCATGCTATGTGATGGTAATATAACAACATGTTTTATCACTAGTTGGTGAAAATAGTTTTGTGGAATGTTTGGTGTATTCCGATTTTCCAAATTTCCTGGTCTAATCTCATGAAGGAATTCTTTGATTTTTTTCCTTTCAACTGCATAAATCATTCTCTATAATAAAAAGGAAGGAATTTGGAGAATTAGAAAATATCATAAATCGAAAATTTGCTATTTTTCCTTAAATGAATGATATGCGTGCAGAAGTGAACAGTTCTGTTCATGTCTTTCAGGAAGTTATGTGTTTTCGTAGTAACTTTAGTAAAAATGTTCTCTTATCAGCAGTACATACGAGCAATTATAATGCAAAATATCAGTGTTAAGACTCGAATCGAACACACATTATTTCGAATTCTATTACTATTTGTATGCCCATCAAGTTAAATCAGCATTTTCTGTTTTTAGTAGGCATTATATTTAAATGTGTACTCCTTAAGCAGTAATGGTTGTTGTTACTCATCTATTTAGTCGGTAGCAACTAATTCTCACTAGATCCTGTTTTCCTTTTCGCTACTTCCATCTAAGTGACTTCCAGCAAAATAAGCAACTCAAGCTAAGAGTTTCAGCTGGAATTTGGTCAATATGTGGCATTGTTGTAATAATTTACCAAGTTCAAGGGTACATACTACACTAAAAGAAATGTTATTCTTTTGTATTACAGTGCATAACTGACTGACAGAATGGGTTTCAACATGAAACATTGCACAGAAGTGCAAAAGTTCAAGTTTCCACATTCCATATGCATAGAATAGTAGAGAAAAAAGGGAGAACAATAGAATCAAAAGAACTATGATAATGAGTGAATATATCTGCTTTAGTAAGAACGATTTTGAGCCATACCACCAACAGTCTCCCCAATCCATTGATTTTTAAAGTACCAAAGACCCCAACCAGCCCGGTAGTCTACAACTTCTTAAGTGGCTCAAAATACCTATCAAAGACTTGATAGATTGATGCCAAGTTTTAGGTTGATCACTGCCAACTCTTACCGGACCCAATCCTTTGTCAGTTAACATTGTTTATCAAGGAAGGCGTCCTCTCGGGATGCACAACACGTGTACTTTGCCTCCTATGCAGAGCTCTGTGTTACATTTTAGTAAGATTGTCGTAATTGTTTCTAGAGGTAAATTATTTATGATATCTGCGTACAAACGTACTACATCAAAGCTTATATTTTTCATCCTTCCAGCCTCAGTTTCTTCTCTTATGAACTAGTTAGTCTGGAAATTGAGTTATTTCTAGGGGAACAATATTAATGCTGATTGCTCATATGTTGCGTGTGTTAACCATGGGCAATATGACAGCACGCATCTCACTAGGAGCATTAATTTTTAACACAAAGTAAAATTATTTTCATTTTCATGTAGTGAGTGTACTGGATCAGCTGTAGATGTTTGAGTTCTGTTCGCAACCACATATACAAGTTTCTGGATTTCGTCCTTATAGACCTCGTGGATGCATTTATGTGCCTTCCTGGTAAAATCTGATTTCTTCATAACTACTGCTGAAGTATACTTGTCTCATTTGGCGGCAACCACCATGCTCTAGTTACCTCCTAACTTATTTTTTAGAACTACGATTTCTGCTTCTAGTTCTTTCCTACCTCTTTTTAGTGTTACAGAGTTAAAGCACATTGTGCTCATACCTGGTCAGCAATTGTCATATCTACTACGCTTGATGCCAATCTACTACTGGGAATAACATACTGAACTTTAATCCTTTCTCGAGATATTTCCTTTCACCTCTGCCTAGTGAGCCGCAGCTTCAAAGACATCCCTACCTACTGAAAGTCTGATGGTCGGGTAGTATTATAAATTGTATTCCGCTTAAAATAATCCTAGCTTGAAGATAGGGAGTGAAGTGGTAGAGTGTGTTGATCACTTCACTTATTTAAGAAGTTGCATCAGCCATAGTGGGCTGATCGCTTACGACATCTGAACACGAATACAAAAGGCTCGTGTAGGATTTTTTGTCAACTCACTCCATCTCTGATGTGGATATAATATCCAGCTGGCTGTCGATGAAAGGCTGTGTGAACTGCGGAGCAGTTCGCTCCACCCGTCTTTATGGATGTGAGAGATGGTCACTGAAAGTGGAAGTCATGAATAGGCTATCTGTCCTTGATCATACGTGTTTGTCTTCGACCTCCAATATTAGGTGGTAAAATAGGGTGTTAGGTAAGCAGGGAAAATTAATCGATGAGGTTGTGAAATCGGATCGATTAAGATGTCTAGTGGTGTTCAAACTAAAATACAGAATCAGTTCATGAAATTTTCACCAGTTAGTTTGAGACACATAGTACCGTGTTTACTTTCAGGCGTTAAGAACCAATGAAGGCTGCAGGCAATTGTTGATATGGCTCAAAATCATTCTCAATGGCGTAGGTGCTTTCACTCCTTGTGATTTGTCAGTCATATCCAATAAAACTTTATTGTTCTTCAATTTTAACATTCTTTTTCCCTCCCTCACACTTCTGTTTATTATCTCTCTTTTGAAGCTGTCTTCTCTTGCTTTGTGTGGTACACATAGAGTGAAGCAACTCAAACTTCTGCAATTCTGTTCAAAGTTCTCTGTTGTAATCAGTCAGTCTTTTAGTCTTTATGGTTCATACTGAATCGTAAATAATCACTTCTAGAATACAACATAAATACATCTTAAAAAGGATTTAAATTATTTTATAATGTAGTCATAATCCGTCGTTGTTAGTGTCTCTCTATCAGGTTTTAGACAGCAAGTCGTTACCTTCAGTGCATATTAGTTAAGCTCATTTAATATGACACATTCTGACAGTATAATAATTATTATTACTGCCATTCGTATCCCGCACGTGATCCGGGATCCGATCCCAGGATGACGCACTCTTAAACCTTGCCAAGCTGGTAATACAGCTGTTAAAGAAGAGAAAGTTGGTTGGCGTTGAATCTAGCAACCCCAATCCACAAAAAGAAAGCCAGTGCTATTGAAACTTTAAAGCTCTAGCTTTAGAAGCCTTATGTTCCACTTAAAACGTAAAGGAATATAATAAATAATAATAATATAACTATGTGCTCAAACTTGGAGGATCTGGACTTCGCCGATGATATATGTCCGATTTCTCACAAACTGAAAGATATGCCAACGAAAAGCAACAAGTTGGCAGAAAAGGCAAGCATCAAAGACAGGACTTCAGGTGAACATAGAGAAAACAGAGTCAGGTGATGAAGATTCCTGGGCAACACAAACAGCAACAACAGACAACAATAAGCATAAATGGAAGGAACCTGAAGGAAACAACCTCTTTTACCTACCAACCTGTGAAGCATCGTTTCAACTACAGGTGGAACTGACAAGGATACCAAAGCAAGGGTCTTTAAAGCAGGACAAGCTTTCACTACTCTCAAGTCTGTGTGGAGGTCAACAGCACTCAGCATCAAAAATAAGATCCGGATTTTCAACTCCAGTGTGAAGTCAGTGCTACCATATGGATCAGAGACTCGGCGCGTTATAAAGAGCATCTCAAAGAAACTACAGACCTTCATTAACAGTTCTATTCGCTCAATATTCAAGATCAGATGGCCGGCCAGAAAAGATCACCAACAGAGATCTCTAGGAGCAAACCAACACAGCAGGAACCGATAGTGAAAAAATGGGCAGGAAGAAATGGAGATGGATTGGCCATACTCTGAGGAAACCATCAAGTGACATCACTAGACAAGCCATCGCTTGAGTGGAACCCAAAAGGGAGGTGGCGAGTTGTTAGTCAGTGCAAGTGTGACATGGACGAGGTCATGTGAAGAGGAGACGAAAGCGTATGGGTAGACTGGGAGCCAGGTGAAGACTCTAGCAGAGAACCGAACGCAATGGAGACGCATGGCTGAAGCTCTATGTTCCTCTAGGAATTAAAGGAAACAACAGTATAATAATAATTTGCTCAACTGAACAGAATTTCACCCAAGTGAATTACTAAGTTCCCACTCTTTTATGGCATTCTCATCCTTTATTTATTAGATGGGATTCTTCCTTTTACACAATATTGTGCAGGACTACTAAGTCGTATCAAATGATTTCGAAGGAATTTTCGCACAACTTTTTCCAAAACTCTTATTACCATTATTGTTCCCTTGGGTTCCTAGTGGAACATAGGGCTTCAACTGCACCTCTCCACTTGCTTCTGTCTTCTGCTTTACTTTTCACCTGCATCCATGTTAGCCCATACTGTTTCAACTCCTCTTCATACGATCTCCTCCATGTCACCCTTGCACTGACATCCCAATCGCCACTTCCCTTTCGGGTTCCACTCGAGCAATGGGCTGACGCGCGATGTCACCCAGCCTCCTCCTCAGCGAGTGAGTGTTCAATCCATCTTCACTTTCTCCTGCATATTTGTTGAGCGATCGGTTCTTCTTTTGTTTCTTTGTTCCCATACTTTCTTGTTGGTGATTCTTTCCGGCGGCCATCTGATCTTCAGTATAGAGCCAGCGAAGACAGTTGTTGATAATGGTCTGGAACAGGCTGTTGGAAATATTCTTTGTGACCCGCCAAGTTTCTGATCCGTACGTATAGAAGAACTGACTTGACTTGACGTTTGTATTGAAAATCCGGATTTTGTTGTTGATGCTGAGTGAAGAAGATTTCCAGATTGGTTTCAGGTTGATGAATGTGTTTCTCGCCTTTCCGATTCTCGATTTGACATCCTCGTCCTTTCCTCCTGCAGTTGAGACAATGCTCCCTAGATGAGTGAATGAAGTAACCTCTTTCAAATCCCTCGCGTTGATGGTGATTGGCGCTCAACGGGAGAGAGACTCTTTCCAAAACTCTT